TAGGGATTATTGTTTTTTAGTAGCATTATTTTTTTTTTTTTTTTTTTTTCTGTCTTTGTCTAGTTTTGGAGTCAGGTAATGTTGATCTCATAAAAGGAGTTAGGAAGTGTTCTCTCTTCCTTTTCCTGGAAGAGATTAGATTCAATTTAAATGTAACTCTTCCTTAAGTATGTGTAAATGTCAGCAGTAAAACCATTGAGGCCTGGTGGTTTATTTTTTGGAAGGTTATTACATTGGTCACGTGTATCACTAAGTTCAACCTAGATTTAAAAACAAGGACATTAATCTCCACCTTATTTACTTCTTCTGGATCATTTTCAAAAAAGAATTATTGATTTCATTTTATTTATTATTACTTTTAATTTGCTACAGGGCATGAGAGAGAGAGAAAGTGAGAAAGCAAGCTCTGCTTGGTAGTGAGCTGCCATGTGAAATTCTCACTACCCTGTGAATGCCAGGATGTGAGGAAGCCTAACCAACACACGGTGGTTATTCCCAGGTCTGGAACTAAAACCACAGTCAGCCATGTTGGAGTCCAGCACCTCAACCACCATGCCACCCACTGGCCCCACTTCTGGACCATTCTAAGTGTACTGTTTATTGAAAAAAATGAAAATTAGAGATATGAATCATGAGATAATGCACCACAGGCACAGGCGTGGGGATTGACGGAAATGGTATGCTTTCAACTGTGTTCATTACAATGTTGCACATTATCATGAGTTATCACTGTCCATGAGGGAAACCCACTGACTATATCATGTCTTGGAATGTACTATCAATACACTGTCTACTTCATGTTTCTAGGCTTTTTAAAAAGTTTATTTTGAGGGGCCAGAAGGTAGTGTGGTGGTTGAGGTGTTAGACTCCCATGTGCTGAACGAGGTCCGAGCCCTGTACCTGTTGGCTTACTTTCTCTCTCACTCTCTCTTTCTATCTGTCTCTTTGGTGAGTGTACTTGCCATACAACAAATTAAATAAATAAAACAAAACAAGTATTTCTTAAAAAGAAAAACGTTTGAGAGAGACAGGGAGAAAGATAAGCACTCTCAATAGGGTCTCATGCCATGATATCTTCTGATCACTCCAGCCTTTCCCAGACAGCCAAGATCACAGGGAACATTCGACAGCCTGACCCAGGAACCAAACTCCAATCAGTTCTGTATAGTTTCTTTCATAGGTCTTGCTTTTGTTTTCTGTTCTCTTCACCATTGATGCCAAAAGGAATAGCAAAAAGACGGAGTAAAATCAGTGGCTCAGATTTGGTCTTTTCTTTCCCTGCTGTCCTGGGTCTGCCATTGAGGATATGTTATGCCAGCACAGACTTGTGAGGCCCTCCCAGGATCGTCCACGTGGTCTAATTCCTTCCTACATACTGTGCTTACTCACAGGTCATTTCAAACTTCAGGACCTAAGAATAGCCTTAGATATTCTCTTACAAGCTGTCCCCAGGCAGCTCTCTTTTACACACGAACAACCAGCTCTTTGGGAACGAACCTCTTCTGAGAGAGACCTAGAATACACTGCTTCTTTCCAGACATCACTCATCTATTCATGAGAATGTTGCCTCCTTGATAACATTCATGGGCTCCACCATCTCTCAACACTAAATTCCTAAAAACGAAACTTTGGGGGACAAACATTATCCACACCATAACAAGAAGGCAACATTTGAGCAAAGACCTGAGGGCATTGAAGAAATCATTTTGCCATCTGGTGAAAGAACTTTTCCAGGTATTCAACAAAATAATTTGTTTTAAATTATATACCTTCTTCAGTCAAATATCTACTGTATAGAACATCAACTACAAATATTAAGAAATAAAATATGAGAACTGTTTATCAAAGGGCTCCATGTACCAGGCACTGTGTTAGGTATCATGAGGCTTGAAACCTTCACACAAATTAGTGAAGTAGGCAAGTATATTCATGCAGTCCCCTTAGGTATAGCAGTTCCTAGGAGCAGGAAGAGCTGGTCCGAGGTTACACCACCCCAGGGTTTATATATTACACCTGATTTGTCACAGGTCTGTCTCTCCCTTTCAAGATGAATGTGTCAACCTAACAGAAAATAAACCAGATCACACCTTTTATAGAACACAGTGCCTGGGACCAACGGATGACATAGTAGTTATGGTGATGGACTCCCACATGGCCGACCTCAGTTCAAGCCCCGGATCCAGTGGTTTTTAAACTCATGCCAGGTGCGTGTGCGTGAGTGCCCAAGATCCCGGGAGGGGGATGGAGAAGAAGGGATTGCTGCGTGGCCATCCCCCCCTGGGGGTGATTTCTCACTTTGTTTCTCTAGCAAGCTCACGTGCCCTATAGCAAAACAACAAAAAAACTCCAAAAGAAACAAAAACAGAAAACACACACAGTACCTTCACAAACTAGCCCATTCAATCTTCCTAACGATTCTAAGCAGCAGATATGATTCTAAAAAATATTTTCTTTCCCTGCGATGGGGAAACAGG